TTATTTTAGTCAAACATTTTAAAATGGTATCTTACTTGTTTTTATTTTCTTTTGTGCTTTTTTGGGTGCAATTGTGCGGGTATGAATATCAACACAAAAATAATATTAGTTCACTATATGATAACACCATGGTTTGGTTTCATATTATTTATTTATTAGGATATTGTAAATATCAAGTAAGTTTAAAATTTTCATACTTAAATCCTTCAAAAATACAAGTTGTGGTGTTTTTATTATCGAATGCTTATTAAAGAAATGTTTTTGGCCTTTAACTAAAACTGCAAACAGTAAATTGAAGAAATTAAATAAAACAACTACCAATTGAGAGATCATACAGGAGGACCAAAAAGATTGGAAAAAAAAAGAAACTTGCTTAAACTTTTTTTTTTTTGGAGGTAAACATCAGTTTATGATCAGATGATATATATCATTACAAGAAATATTTTTGTTGTGGCGACACAATTAGTTTCCACAAAAGGTAAGCGTTTTAGCCATCGGCGAAAAAATAATTGTTAATATAAAAGGAAATCTTGTTTTTTGCAACTTATAAGCTAAAATAAGTAGTATATTTTTTTGTGACAACTCTTTTAACCGCACAAAAAAAAATTAGGTGTTTTTTTGGCAATTATATGGGTATTTATAGCGACTTAATTTAATCGCTATAAAAGATTGATGACTTCTCATAATAATAGTATATCACACTATGAAATGCGACTTGTAAACCACATTTGTGAAATAGAAATTAACACTATAGGAATTTTATTTATTTCTGATATTTTTATGTGCCGAGTCATTTTTAGTTCAAAGGCTTATTGTGGCAACTATATACATACTTGTAGCGGCTTTAGTTGCCGCAAAATACTAATTTCTTGTAGTAAATTATACTAAAGCCTTTTACTTTTAAATTTTGTGAATTTTTGTTCATATCTTAATATTGATAATTTGAATTAAAATCTAATTTAGTTTATCTACATTTTTTGTAACTATTAAAAGTATTTATAACATGATTAACTTATAATTTTAGCTTGTACGCACTTTTAATTTGATCAAAATATAAAATACTTTATTTTAAATATTTTTTAAAATTTTCAGAAACAAAATTCCTAATTCATAACGTGTCCTAACTTCCTTTCCATTTAATATCCGTGATTATCATTTTCCATGAGTGATACTTTTGAATTTATAATTAAGGTATTTTAGTCAATTTACTAAAATAGGTTATCAACATTTTTAACCAAACATGCTTATTATCTATTTCAGCATAATTTTATGTTTCAATTTATTTGACTTTACTATTTTAATAGTCAAAGGATTTACTTCTTTACCATATTTTTTAAATACTTTTTAAATATTTTAAATTGTTAACTAATAGTATGACTTGTAGTACATTTATGTAATTTCTAAAAACATAAATTTTATTTCCCAAAACATTGAAAATATTATGTTTGAAAATTAATACCGAACATGGATTTGTTTGATCATCAATTCATCATACTCATAATTAAAACATAGTATGACTATTTATTCATAGAACAATTTCAGCACTTTATTATGTTTATAAACTATTTACGACTCGTAACCCAAACAGACTCATATGGGCTTTTCTTTCCTAATCCATTTAAACTTGAAATGGATAAAATACATTAGAAATATTGAAAACACTTCTGACCGCTAAAGTTATTGAGTTCTATTCAAACTCGTAATCGACATATGCCAGCTCTGCCCCAGCTTATCAACCCAACTTTAAGATGAGATGAGTTAAAATATGAGTGGATCATTAACTCGCCCAAACTTAAAAGAATTACTTAATCATATTTTCATAGACAAATTTTGTTACCCTAAGTCGTAGGTGCCTCAATCCTCCAATTTCTATACTGATGTAAATTGTATAATTAACACTCTTTCTGTTTCAATATATGTGAAGATGTTTGACTAGATATGAAATTTAAAAATGACATTTAGACTTTTAAAATTTGTGTTTTATAATCTAAAATAAGTCATGTATATGCATATGGGGAGACTATAAATCATTTCATTAAAAAAATTAGTTTAAAATTAAATTAATACTAAAATATAAGAAGAGAATCACCCAAATTAAAAGAGAAAGAATATATGTTTAATTTTTTTTTTATTTGTGTCTTATAATCCGCCAAACTATCCATGTTAAGTTGGTTAACAATCTATCAATTCTATAAATTCTAATTCCACATATACCAATAAAAGAGGAAAATACATTTGAAGAAGGAAACAAATTATCCTCCATTTCTATCTTACATAATACTGTAATTTTATAAATGAAAACTGATACGAAAAAGTAAAAATATAGAACGTAATCACCTAAATTCAAGGAATATTGATTTCAAGGTCCTAATTATTTTTACCCTACCAAAAATATACTCATATTATTTACAGTAATTAAAATTTTGTCCAACATGAAAGATAACTTAAATTTGAATATATTTAAAATAAAATATAACATACATAAATAAAAACAAAAAATATATTATTAAATCAAGATTCAGGCTGATTGTGTCAATCTGCTAGCCAAGTAATACAAGGAAGCAAAGCGTGACAATAAATTTATTCGGCAGAATATAAAATTAACCGAACTTTCAATTTAAATTCTAGCTTTTCCCTATGTGTTTGAGTTAGGGGTAGCAAATATAGCCTAAATTTTGATGGTCCATTTGATTTATTCAAAATCTTATGAGTCGTGAATAAAATAATTTTATTATAAAATTATAGCATATATTTTGTAAAATTTTTATGGTATATTTTATAAATGGAGACTGATACTAAAAAGTACAATATAGAACGTAATCACCTAAATTAAAGGAATATTGATTTCAAGGTCCTAATTATTTTTACTCTACCAAAAATACACTCATATTATTTACAGTAATTAAAATTTTGTCCAACATAAAATATAACTTAATTTAGTTTTTGAAAGATATATAAAATCGTTTAATATCTTGTATTTAAATAGGAGTATATTCTTAATTTTCTTTCCATAAAATGCTAGACGTTTTAATTCCATGCCTTACTTATTTGGAAGACAACTATATAAAATGCATAACACAAGTTATAAAATAAAATTATTTGATTATACAAAATGGCACTTTCATATATCTCTGCCTTGTTTTTGCTAGTTTCTCTATTATCAATCTCTTTCACGTTAACAAGCGTGAGAGCAGATCTGATAAGCGATGTTTGCTCAAAAACACAAAAACCAGCAATATGTTTATCGGCTCTACGAGGGGATTCTCGATGATCTAAAGGTGCAAATCTTGAAGGCCTTGCGACAATCTCAATAGACATATCACTAAAGAGCATGCAATCCGCACATGATCTTGTTAATACATTGTTTAAACAAGCTACAGATCCAAAATTAAAGACACGATATAGTTCGTGTTTGGAGAACTATAATGACGGCATTGATGATCTTAGAGGATTGCCTGCCCTTTTAAAATCTAGAGATTATTCTGGTTTGAATATTCATGCCTCTGCTGCTTTGGATGATCCTTCTACATGTGATGACAATTTTTCAGATCCACCCGCTGAAGCACCCCAATTGAAAGTTGCTAGTGAGAAGGTTCAAGGACTTATTGGTATAATTTTGGTTGTTAGCAATCTACTGAAATGATAATGATACATAAGTATTTGTAATGACTTGAAAGTTATGAAATTAATGTTTCCCTTTTTAAATTTAATTCAAACCTTAATTAGGTCTGTTTTATTTTTAACAAAATACACTTAATTAAAACATAATAAGAATGTTGAAAAGGTTGAATACTTAACTTCACAATTGTAAGAATCAATTATACTAACGTATTTTTTTATGGATGGGTTTAGAGTTTTTCCCAGGAGAGAGAATAGAGCTAAATTAACACTTTTTTTTTTTTTTATATGAAATTAATGTTTCCCTTTTTAAATTTAATTCAAACCTTAATTAGGTCTGTTTTATTTTTAACAAAATACACTTAATTAAAGCATAATAAGAATGTTGAAAAGGCTGAATCCTTCACAATTGTAAGAATCAATTATACTAATGTATTTTTTTATGGATGGGTTTAGAGTTTTTCCAAGGAGAGAGAATAGAGCTAAATTAACACTTATTTTTATCTAAATTACGTTATTCAAATAAGAAAAAAAATCAATACACACGAACATTTAGTTGAAAATAAATAAATTGCTTTTCTCAAACATCTTAAAGAATAGTACTTAATGACTAGTTCATCTATTATAAATCTTTAACGGAAAAGGATCATACGTAACTTTGTACTCTTAATTTTTGTATAAGTTGTACATTATAGTTATTTCGTAAATAAGCTATTTAAATATAAAATTAATATAATTTTTTATTTGTAATTTAGAAACTCACATAACTAATATATGTATAAGTTATGAGGATAATGATTTATTATCTTATGTAGAGTAGAAGATGAAATAGCCAATACCTACATAATTTTAATTAGCTTCCAAACTTTCCCTCGATATTTAGATCTAGACTCAAAATTTTAATATTTAAATGTGTATTTTAATTCAAATATTTTAATATTAATAAAAACAAATGAATCCTTAGTCATCATCTATGCACCCTTGAAACAACAATAAAATCATACCTATGCACCAGGCATTATTTCAATCCTCACACAAATGGAAAACTTTCATTGCAACAGTACAAGGCAACTAGAGTTTCAGAATAAAAAGGATATGCAAATTAATTAGCAATACAAGTTTCTGGATAAACACAATTCAAAGCTATCAAAATTATCAATAAAAAAGCCGGAGAATAGTTCCATATTCAAATTGAAAAGGAATTAATATATAGTCGGTTATTAAGTTTGTTAATATATTTCATTTAGTTATTTAGACACTCGAATTAAGTTATATTTAGATTCAAAAACCTCAACTCCTAATAAAGTATATTAACTAGACACTGTTAACTCTTTTTTTTTTTTTAAAAACTTTTGTTATGTGTTTTCATTCGTTTATTCGATAGTTAAGTTAACCACATAAAATATATCATCTCTTAATTATATGCATCAACCTCAAATGAAAAATTATGGGGCTTTACAGTTTATTGAGATGAATGCGCGTATAATTTTAAAAAAAATGATATATCTTATATAATTAACTTAACTATCTAACAGAAGAATGAAAACACACCCAAGAAAAAATTAGTTATGAACCGAAAATATTAAAGTGAAACACTTTATTAGGAATAGAGGTATCCAACTGAAATAAAATTTAATTCAAATATCTAAATGAAATATCATGATAAATTTGAGGGAGATTGACTATGTATTAATTCAATTGAAAACTAGGAGTAGTATCATTTAAGTCATCCGAAACATAATTAACCTATGAAACAATTTCATCGTCACTTTTGTTTAAGCCTCCAAAATTTTGAGGCACCAAATAAATTTAATAATGATTTTTATGATTTTATTTTCACTTAATTTAAATTAAAGATTAAAAAAAAGACAAAATTAATATTAAAAAGGAGAGAAACAAAAGCTATCTATTATTTTTTAATCATAAAATATTTTAGAACTTTGAATTAAATAACTTAAATTTTTATATGATATATAGAATTTTTGCAACAATATTCTAGGTAATGTATTACAAACAAATGGCTAAATCTTCTTATCTGAAGTTAAAAACTTTATGTGTTTTAAGAAACTATACTACAACTTGTTGAATTGACTTATATTAAGTATTTTTAAGTCGAAAGAGTTTTAAAATTCTTTTGTAGTGTTTGAATAAAAAATAAAAATGTTGTCAAACACTTGATTTTAAATCAAAATAACCAAAAATAGGAAGAAGCTAAAAGTCAAAAATAAAAATTTCTAACTTAATGACTTATGCTTAAATGTCATTTAAATCCATTTAAATAGGCTTAAAAAATGAGTATTATATGCAACTCTAAATTATCATTATTGTTATAATATATATGTATATATATTTAAGGCCTCTTATTAATATTTAGTTTTAAGCCACTAATTTTATTGAGATGACTGGCCTACAAACTGGCCTACAAATCCTACTACAATCATAGAAGTCGAATATTCAAGAATTATATTTCTCTAGTGTCTGTCAATGTCAATACAAATACATTGTTACATGTCAAAACTACAACATTGATTTCAATAATAACCACAATCATATCATAATCAAAATCGTGTAGAAATTTAACAATTTGGTCTAAACAAATATATTACTAGTCTATATCAAATGAATTATTCAAATATGATATATTCTTTATAAAAAATATATTTTAGACTTGAGTAAAAAAATATTTTCTGATATTGTCATTTTAATTATTCTCAAATTTCCTAGGAAATATAAAGTGCATGTACAAAGCTAATGCATTTATTAATTATTTTCTTTTCTAATACAATTTGTCAAAATATATTAATGATACAAACATTACTAATATACCATATTCAGCATTATTTTAATACAACTCTTTCAAACGATTCCTAAATATTTTAGCCATCATCTATGCACTCAAAAAAATAATCATTAAATATTAAACAAATGCCAAAGAGGAAGGAGTAAGACACTCCACAAAAATTTCGAACGAAGGACAATTAATAGTATGTTTAAAAGAGAGGGACGATTGTAAGTATAAAGATAAATGTAAGTATAAAGATAAATATAAAAGATTATTTTGGGAGTTCACCATTTTACGCCTGAAACATGAATGATTAGTTTGACCATGAGAATGTTATATTAATTTATTTTTGTTTAAAAATTAATGTTTGATCATAAACATATTTAAATACAAGAATTTGGAAAATACTCCAAATCTTATTTTCATTTTTAACTTTATTATAAATATTTTTTTTTAAATTACTCTGGACCTTATTTTTTATATAAAAATGACCCTATTGAAATTCAATTTTATGTTGAAATAATATTTCATGTATTTTACATAAATTAAAACAAGCAAATGTTATTTACAAAAACTATAATTAAATACAAGTTTAATTTTAAAATTTTCAAATAAAGTGAAAAAGATTATTGCAACAGTACATAGTAACTTGTATATGAAAAATCATGTCTATAACATTATATGATTATCTATTTTGAGATTTTTCAAACTTAATTTAGAGCATGTTTGGTATTACTGTTAAAAACTGCTTATTTTCATAATGACTTTTTTAAAATAGCTTTTCAGAAAAGTGTTTTCGAAAAAATAAAATAAAATTTGTGTTTGGCTAATTCATTTGGAAAGTGTTTTTTATAAGCAAATTGTGTTTCACTAATCTTTTTTAAAAAATGCTTTTGAGAGTCAAATTACGATAAAGGGCAAGTATTAGTGTACTTTTAATATTAAGAATATTTTATAGAGAGAAACTAGTTTAAACATATATTACAAAAAAATAATTTAAATTTTGATTTTTATTAAATTAAAATATTCATATTAAAAATTTCAATCAATATTATACATTTTTTGGAGGGTTGAAATCTTTAATTGTTATTTTTTTTTCTAATCATGCAAAAATATTTTTGTTACCTTTTTTTATTCTAATTCTGCAAAATAATATGTAAAATAATAATATATAAACGTAAAATAAAATATAAATTATTAAATGAAATTTCACCAAACATATGGTGTGTGTGTATATATATATATATATACACACATATATATGGGATATTTTAGTCTTGAAAAAAAATAATTTTCTACTTCTACTTCTATTTTTTTTAAGAAGCATAAATTTTTTAGCTTCTTTCAACTGCAGAAAAACTGTTTTTGCTTCCATTTAAAAACAGTTTTACAAGTTTGTCAAAAACCTAATTTTTCAAAAAAAATAGTGCTTATTTCTCAAAATAAGTTCTTTTCGGCTCCCAACAACAATGCCGAATAGGCTCTTATTTGTATATTTTATCGTTTTCAGTTTTGCAAAAGTATATATTTTGATCCATAAGATATTTATCAAAATTTGCTTGTTAAATTGAGAGTCTGTTTGTTATCCGACTAAAAACAACTTATTTTTAGAAACACTCTTGTAAAAAAAAACTTTTTAAAAAGTTCTTTTGAAAAAATAATAATTTGTGTTTGGCTAATTATTTGAAAAGTGTTTTCAATAAGTAGATGTGTTTGTCTAATCATTTTTAAAAAGTGTTTTTGAGATTCAAATTACGAAAAAAAGACAAGTATCAATATAACTTTTAATATTATTAATTATTTTATGGAGAGAAATTATTTCAAGTATTTATTATTAAAATTTTAATTAATTTTTTATTTTTATCAAACTAATGTATAGATATTCAAATTTTCAATGAATATTACACATAGATAAATAAATAAAAATTAACCATTTATATAATATTAACATAATGATTTAAATATAATTAAAAATATCAAGAAAAATAAATTTAAAAATTCTACCACAAATTAAATCACTACATACGAAAGTTCACCATAAAAATAAATAAATATGTATATATAGCAACAACAGTTTGGTCTTGAAAAAAATTTATATTTCTGTTTTTTTCTTAAAAAAAAAACATAATTTGTGAGAGGATTATTTCAGACCTTTTTCCCTTTTAAAAAAGTATTTCTTAAATATTAAATTTAAGAAGTAGAATTCGGTAAACATACGACTATGAGTAGGATTAAAAGTGATGAGTTTTTGTAAACATAAAAGGATTAAAATTAGTCAGAAGTGATACTTGAAGGATTATTATGAACTTACAACATAATATAAGGGATTTCTTAAGCGCATATATATACAAATTATTATACATACATATGTAGCTAGGAGGACTGCAGCCTCAACTTGAGATAGATTTTTCCGATTGTGTCCAACGAGATGTCTGCTGATTGGTCGGAGCTTCAACAAGATGTGTTGTTTCTCATAGCTAGACGTTTGAATCTGATTGAAGACTACTTTAATTTTGGCACTGTCTGCAAATCTTGGCACTCTGCTACCACCAAGGACAATTTTAACAGTGACCTACCTAGAACTCCATGGTTGATGTTAGCTGAAGAAGATTGCTCATGTCGAAAATTCTTCAGCCTCTATAATGGCATGATTTTGAACAAGAAGATTCCAAAAGCTAGAGGAAAACGTTGTATGGAGTCTATGGGTTGGCTTATCACAGTTGGAAAAGACGAGGGTGAAATTAGTTTGTTACATCCCTTTTCTGGTGTTCACATTGAATTGCCCCATCCGAATACCATGGAAGATTATGAGCATGACCGGACAGGAGACTTGTGGATAGTGCTTCTCTATCGATCCAAGCTTCTCAATTTCCAGGAATCAAGTCCAATCATATCTATTTTACCGATGATTTTTGGGAAACATACCTGTACTATGAAGAGGGAGGGGGCTTCGACATGGGGGTGTTTAGCTTAGCAGATGGCAGTATTCAGCCGCATTACGAGGCTCTTTCCTTGAGTCGTGTTGGTCCTCCAACTTGGGTCACACCGACTCTATATTGAGCTGTTAGACTCATCCTTTACTTACTCTATTTGTTATGCTAGCTATATGTTATTCTTTAATTTACATAATTACAACCTGTCACCATTGCAATTTGTATACTAGTAGCTTTTATTATTCCAAGTTCCATGTATTTGTTTAGTATTGGCCTTACTCTTGAATTTCTTACTTCAACTTGTTCAAGATCTATTAATAGTATTGAGGTGCAGTCACCATTGCAATTTTTATACTAGCCTCTTTTGAATCTCCTTTGGTAGATCTAGGCTTCTTTTTGTGTTCTCTAGACTCTATTTCAAGCTGAAAATAGAAAAAGGTGGAGGGAGTAATATGTTTTCTATACCAAGTGTGAGGCCGGATGATTAATGAATTGGGAGAGAACAATGAGGTCTATGTCAAATCTTAGCTGAAATAAAAAAATAGTACTTGATAATTTCTTTCTATCTGTCAAGTTTTGATGGACAAAGTTACCCGCTATTAGTGCTGGTGGGAGTTTCTGTTATTCTACTTCAGTATGATTAGTGTTTTGACGATATTTCTTCTGGGACTTGAAATCCAAGTAGGAACTGATGTATTACTAGGCAAAATGTGTTTCACGTAGAGAATAAATAGTCTATCAGAATAGTAAGAATATGACAAATTAATTAGCAATACAAATTTCTGGATAAACACGATTCTAATCCAATC